TTGTCTAGAATATGAAAGCATTTTTGATGGGTAAGACTAAGGTCGTTTTGCACATTGTCTTGCTTCAGATAGAGAGTTCACTTTTTGGGTGTTCAAGGACAAAGATTATTTGGCTAGAAACTAGTTTTGACCCAGAATGAAATTTTTTTAATAGCCGGGAAATATTTTTTTTTTGTGTGTGCTGTTCAACTCTTGTAGATCGCTTTTCTTGTAATTCATTTGTGTGGTAAGACGTCACCTATTTGCTCACCAACATTACTAAATAAGAGGGAAGTATCTTGACGATGGTTAGCGTTCAACAGAAGAATAGTTGCTTTCAATTTTGCGTATTTTTGCTATTTTCATTCTTCTTTCTCTCACAGCATAATTGCTTTTGTCTGGTTGGCTAAAGATTTTGTATAAGTGTTTTGTTTTCATCTCAAAAAAAAAATTCTTGGGTTGCTCGATGTTATGAACCCGGTAACTGCAGTAAATGGATTTTACCAACTGACTTTTTGTTTCATTGACATATTCGTTAATTCGGACTACCTACGGACGTCTGATGAGTGTTTTTCAAATACATTAGTTTTAGGGCCCTATTTTTTTTTTCTTTTAGATTTCTGGCTTGGTTGTTACTTTTACATTCTCCTTGGAAGTGTTTAGTGAAACTGCATAGTTGTGAGTCATGGTGGACATTTAATCTAATTTCATAGATTGCATGACAGACGAGCAAAGTTGTTTTTGCTCCCGGCGAGCTTGTTGTCAGTTGGTCACTGAAGATGACTTGAAGGTTTTGGTTAATTTCTTACGGGAGTTTAGTTACTTGTATGAAAGTCCGAACATTCGGTTCCTTGCCGATAAACAATGGCAAAGACCTCCTGTTGAGGTAATGGCTTTATTGCAGTCTTTTGGTCACCAGATGTCAAGTTTGGACACTAACTTTAATTACTGTAAAATAAACTTGATATTTTCTAATTTACTCATGCCTTTTCAAAAGTACGACCACGCGGGTGTAGAAATTTTGCAGTTTTCTAGTTGATTGAGCAAAAAGCTTTGTTTTTTTTTTTTT